TTCGGCTCATGTCCGCAGACGTCGAGTGCGTCGGGAAAGCGAGACGGCGAAACCATTCCCCGTAGACTAAAATATAAGTGGAAATTAATAAAGGCCCCGGCCATGCGGCCGGGGCGACTAGAAAGGGGGGCTTAGCCTGTTGTAGCAGGCTGCGGTGGCCAACGGTGGCCTGGGTTTCCCCTACGGTGGACTGGGGGTTTTATGTACTGACTAGACCGGGCCCTGTACTCAACTTAGGGCAAATTAACTCTTAGTAAAATCGAACTAGGAGTTAGCCTAGTAGGTACAAGCATAGACTAATATGCAAGGGATTCTGGGATCGAGTCCGATCTGCCTCTGGGCTAACTCCTTTTGCTAGCTGTGGGGGGCGGGCCCTGCCTTTTCTGCCCGCCCTTAGACGGGCGAGATTCGAACTCGAGACCTCTGTTGTAGAAGTAGTAGAACGAGCACTCGTTTTCACCCCGAATGAGGATGGCGGGGCTCGATCCCTTGACCTCAAAATCGCGAGGCATTTAACTACTGTTAGTCCCCGTTGTGACAGTTGGCACAACGGGGGTAGTTAATAGTTAGGTTTCCTTTTTTTTTTTTATAGTTTTTTTATAGTTTTTAGTTTTGTTATTAGTTAGATTTGTTTTCTGTTAATTCTTTATTAATTTTTTTCCCCGTCGTCAGTTTTTACAGATTCACATTAATGAATTTGCCTCTGATATGAGGGCAGATTCATTACCGAGAAAAAATCATCGGTTTTTGTGAGATTCCGCCATGATTTCGTACGCACGAAATCCCAGTGCACGGGGAAGGGAAGGGCGCGTGACGGGGAGGAAAAGGGCGCATCCGAAAGCAACGTGGAGCACGTGCGGGAAGCAAGAGTGGGTGCGAGCAGCCGAATGGAGGCGCGAGCGGAAGGCAAGAAAGACGAAATACAAAATGGCATGAACGCAAGGAGCAAAGCAAACGCGAGCAATGAAATGCGTGAGCAAATGCGAGTGCAGGAGAGGAAGAAAAAGAAGAAGAAGGTGAACGAAGAAGAAGGCGAACGAAGAAGAAGAAGAAGAAGGAGAGGAATGGTGAAGGAGACTCAGTAGAAGGAGAGAAGAATGAGGGTAAAGGAGGAACTTACCTGTGCGAGGGTGGAGGTGCATCTACCGAAGGCGCAACAAAGTTGTGCCCGTTATCCCCGGACTTGTTGGAATGCGCGCTTGCGTCTGTCGTGTCCCCCATGCTGTAGTCTCGGTATGCTCCACATCGTGACGGATTGCGAGGAGCGATGGACTGTCGACTGACGACGACGACACCAGGAATATAGTGAGAACAGGTATGTCTCCTATCTCGACCTGTCTCTTATACACATCTAGATGTGTATAAGAGACAGGAAGAATGAGGGTAAAGGAGGAACTTACCTGTGCGAGGGTGGAGGTGCATCTACCGAAGGCGCAACAAAGTTGTGCCCGTTATCCCCGGACTTGTTGGAATGCGCGCTTGCGTCTGTCGTGTCCCCCATGCTGTAGTCTCGGTATGCTCCACATCGTGACGGATTGCGAGGAGCGATGGACTGTCGACTGACGACGACGACACCAGGAATATAGTGAGAACAGGTATGTCTCCTATCTCGACTTACTCCCCGACCCTTCCATTGATAAAATGAAGAAAACTGGAATGAATCTACCGCTAGAACATGGCTATGTACATGTACGTGAGAGAGACTGAGAGAGAGAGAGGGAGTGAGGGAGAGCGGGAGCGACTCCAAAGGTCCTAAAAAGAAGCAGAATAAGTACCGCGGAGAAAAAAGAATTAGAAAAGAAAAAGCTTCGCGTAGACTCAGATAACCTCCTCAAGGAGAAACTGCCACTGGCATGAGTTGACATCGACCAGACTATCTCGAAAGCACCAGAAAGGGTGTGCTTATCCGTAAGAGAGAAAATGCAAGTACTGAGAGCAAGGGGAAATAAGAGTCCCCTAAGACAACTTAGGACATAGGCAAAAGACTCCTTGAATTAAAGGAGGAGGGGTGACAGACGACTCAGGGTAGATAGAAGCTAGGGGGTTAGACTTTGGGATGTTGACCCCAAAAGCTCACAGACCAGATCTAAGGGCTTGACCCTTAGCTATCAATAAGTGGGAAATCGAGTGAGGGTGTTGAATCTTTGTTGACCCGTGTGTGTGCAAGTCCATGTTCTGATCTACTGCAATTGAAGGAGAAGTCCTACAAAGAGGACTCAATTTTTTTGTTATCTCTCGATAACAGGTCGGTCGTTGTCGATTCAACTCTTCCTCCTTGGCTTGATACCCACGTCTAAAGTCAAACCCTGTGGTTAGTAAAGCTGTCACCTGTAGTCATCGCCTAAATGGTCCTGGTCACTCTCAAGGGTCCTTTGAAGAAATGTGAGGGGGCTGGGCGTAAGTCTCAGGAAAAGATAGAGCTTTCATACATGGTTTGGGGAGTGGGGGACAATGTCAATGGTTGATGGTTGACGCCATTAGTGCATGGCATGTGAACTGTCTTTGCATTATTCTGTGCAAATCTGTTTTGTTTGTGGATTGGGATTGAATTGTACCTGTTCTATTTACGAGTTTTTGACACACAGCACTTGTGAAAGTAAGAAGGGTTCTCCGCGGTAATACCTCCATATCCATTATCAGTTTTATGTAACTTCTATACTATCTGATGTTCAGTCTTACGTTAAGTAGAATAGAATACCCTTGGTAGTGACAAGGTTTGTTTGATACTCTGGTCATAGTGGTTAGAGGAATAATATGTTTTGGAAGCAGAAGCGGAAATAGACGGCCTTCTGAAAAATTCGACCTGAATATATAACGGGTCAGTTCTAGTCGTCTTACCACGCGTATCCTGTGTTATGCTACAGCGATCGAGAAAATGCCCTCGGTCGACCTACCTCTACAAAGGCATGTAAAAGCCTTCGCAAGTGGGCCGGTAGCTCAACAGGGATACGCCTACCTGAGAGTGGTGACAGCCCCTCGGGTAGAGGTAAGTTGTACCTCGAGATGTCCCGACCTGTCGCAGAGCGTCATGAGAGGTATAGCACGCGCGCACAGTCGGAGTGGTGACTGGTTCTTTGTCAGACGAAACATCCTATGTGGCACGACCGTGAGGTTCAGTGCTCCCCCTTAGGGCGAGGGACCGCTGCGCGTGACACCGGACACCGATTTTTAAGGGGAGGATTAGAGCGGACCTCATCAAGCTGATTGAATAGCAGGAAGCTTGATACTTGTGGGATATGTACCGAGACTTGCACCCGACTGAACATAGTTATAAGTAGATCGGATCTCCCTCAAACCAGGTCGGGATAATGAGGCAACTTAATTTTCCCCTTTGTCTTAGCTTCGGCAACAATTGAAATCCTCAAGGTAGTAGAGATGAGTGACTCACTATTCGACCATACACCACTGCTTCTGGAAAGTATAGAGCCGACTCTGTTGGTCCGTGGCGCTGGTTACTTTCACTTAAACACGAGACTATTGGAGGACGAGGGAGTTTAAAACGGATGGAACAATTTTGGAGAGATTGAAAAATAGTAAAACCGTATTTCGAAATGACAACCGAATGGTTTGACGCAACTTGCGTATAGTCTCTAGGAGGTTGGACTTTGTCTCCAAGATCACAACATACGGAAGGAACAAAGAGGAAGGCGAGTTGTGGGCCAGAGTGGAAGAAGCCGACTGCCGTTTGGATGACCACCCAATCTTGCAAATCTTACGGCCGGAAGAGAGAATGGTGAGGCTCAGATAATGAGACCAGGTACAAGTGCTGAGATAGGAGCGTTGAGATTATATCCTCAAAATTAAGGGGATTGCATCTTCAAAGAGAATGACCAAATAGTCATTTCGTAGGCTCTTGCCAAGCTCAAAGGCAGTGTAATTGAGAGAACTCCAACATATGGACATCATGGGAGTACCGAGGGCAGTAACCAACGAAGAGATGTGCAACTATGCAACAGACTACTTCCGAGACATCTCTCTACAAGAAGGACCTTCGATGAGTTGAATGACAACATGGCAAAAGTGTCACCCCAGTGGGAGAATCTGTAGGTGCGGTTTCCAGAAAACAGCAACAGTGGATGAACATACCGATTACTCAGGAGGAGCTATTCGTCACTGTCCAGGCGATAGCTCGCGGTAAAGCTCTTGGAGATGACGGTCTGCCTGTCAAGTTCTTTGCTGCATGCTGAGAGGTCCTTAGTCCAAATTTGGTGGAACTTTACAGTGACATCCTCACCGACGGTCGTTTAGGGACAACGTTGATCAGGGGTGTTATTATCTTGTTACACGAAAGGAAATCACCGTGAGGTGCGCAATCGGAGACCCATATCCAGATCATTCGTCTGGGTAAGTACCTACCATACTTAGTCCCGAGGAATAAGGGTACCTTTATGCAGGGCCGCACAATTTTCGAAAACATGGTAACAAGTATTGAAGCACTAAACTGGATAGTTAAAAAAATCTTAGATGTAGTTGATTTCCTCTTTCACTTGGAGAAGATGCACGTCAAGGTCAATCGGTTGTGGGATTCGGGGAACCCTTCTGCCAATGGGTTGAAGTGTTATACGGTTCCGCATCTGCTACAGTCTGCGTTAATGATCATATTTCTCAAGAGTTTCATCTTATCAGGCCCCTCCACTAGGGATGTCCGTTGGCCCCCCTGCTCTTCGTGCTGCACCTGAAGCCGCTATTGTGCAATATTAGAGCTCGTAGGGATATTTCAGGACTAGTATTAATAAATGGGGAAAAATGTCAGGTAAAGGCCCTGGTGGACGATTTATTCGTAGTTTCAATGAACGATAGAAAGTCATTGGAAGCGCTCAAGAATTGTTTGATGAAGTTCGCGGAGTTGTGTGAAGCAGACGTCAACAAGAATAAATGATCCTATTTTCTCCCGATCGGTTACAAGTTATAAGCAAAATAGGGCATGGACAAAATCTCAACAGGGAGCGCAAAGCGCTTCTTGGAGGTTCAAGTGGCACTAGGTGACTGATCATCCTCGCAGACTCTTATCACTTAGACAAAAGTTACCATGAGGATTAACAGTTGAGACAAGGCTCACTGGCAACACTTATCACTGATTGGTAGAAGCAATACGCATAAGATCTTGGTTTTCCCATCGCAAGCGTTCCATCTCGTCAGCTTTTTGCTTCTCGAGTTGCTCCCTAGCTGCCGCATCCTCCCTTCGCCATCGATTCTCCAGATCTTTCCTTCTGTCGTCGTCACAAGTACCGCTCGTCGAAGCTTGGCCCGTGCTTGTCTTCTTGCCGAGCACCTCTTGGCATACTTCCTTCATGTTGTCTTTGACCATCATGCCGATGGACTTCTGAAAGTCTTCGCGCTTTTTTTTTGCCTTCGCCCGCTCTTCTTCGGCTTCCTGGGCTTTCTTCTTCTCGGCTTCCTCCTTCAACTTCTCTTCCTTAGCCCGTTTTTCGTCTTCTTTTTGTTTCATCTCCTTCGAGTACCAACCCCACACTTCGTCAAATTTCTCGTCCTTCCATCCCTCACGGTTGTCGGACCACCTTGATCGTGGTTGATACCCCGTTCTGCCATATCCTTGGTTGTAGTTGTTGTATCCTCGGTTGTTGTAGCCACCATACCCTTGGTTTGAACCTTGATCGGCAATGCTCCTATTCCCCTCCTGCTGTCCTCCGTTCGCTGGAGCTCGATACGGCACAATAGCATTCGCGTTCGGAGCCGGCAGCAATCCGTCACTGTCTTGAGCACGCTGTTGATCCACTTCGTTGCCGCCTAGTAGCGCGGCGGCATTCGGGACTTGCCGAAGCTGGCAGTCCCTAATAAAATGACCCGGTTGACCGCAGTGGTGACAAACTCTATGGCCTCCGTAACTCATGATGACTGACTGAAGTAGACGATAAAGACAAACGAAAATAGGAGAATGATAGGGAAAGTTTATCGCAACTTGAAAGGACCGGATGATCGATACTATGACTTAAAACAGACAATGCCTGAATGAAGCCTACAATGCTGACCGACGTAACCACACTGCACGTAGTATTCTGCTACTGTGGTTATTACGTATATTGAAGCACAGATAGTGTTCAATTCAACAAACAATCATGCGAAAGTAGGACTGACGAAGCAGAAAAGGGAAGAATAGACGAAGACGAAGAAGTATAGGCAATATCCGAGCGCAGGTGAGCGTTTTTTCAGTTCTTTCCTCGACTGCTTGGTCGGGGCCTTTATTACTTTTCAACCCCTGTTTTGGGCATGTAGCCTCATAAATTGTCTGGCATATTATTCCGAACACTCACTACCATTTTTCATTGGGTTGACACGCATATGACATAACAACCTCGACCATACGATCGGGTACTTTTTAGACATCGTAGGACGCTAGACTCGTCAGCATACTATCCCTAGTTGTGTAGTGTATCGTCGGTTACCCCATTCGACAAGAAATCTCTTACTATTCCCGACCATACGTAAGAGCATATTCTAGTTCTAACCATATCGTCAACTCTAAGCATGTCGACGTACTATCCCTGGATTCCTTACATTCAAGTCATTGACTTCATAGGATTCTGTTTATTTATTTCCGCTGACCTTTCAACCTCAGCGGCCGAAGGCATTACTACTAATTTTATCTATCTCAACGCACGTTACGATAACATGCATGCAAGCTAACCATGACCAAATTTCCTAACCCATACACCTCGTCCTCAACGGTCGAGGAACCCTTCTCAAATTGTCGTGCAGAAGCGTGCAAGCACTACACTTTAAACCGACTTCGATATAGTAGTCAAAATTGTCGTTCTGTCTAATGCAAAAACACGGACAAATATCCTTGTAAGGGTTCTAGCCTCAACATCTCAAAGTGTAACATAAAAATATATCAGTTTTTCAGCCCAATCTGGCTCCGTCCTGGTAGCCAATACCACTGTTCTATTGAATGCAAAAAAATTGGGCAAATAAGGATATTAACCCCAACACCGTGTACTGGCAGTTTAATAGTTACCTACTCCAGCCTACTCCTATTACATTGACCTACTGACGGTCTGGGAACCAGTCTAATGCGACTGGGAGAAACAATGTTTCATAAGTTGGTGACTCGACACTCTCCAACCCACCCAATACCCATGCGGTCCACTGTGGCTGCTGACTGTAACCGAGTGCGCCTAGTTAAACTCTCCTTAGCTACCTTCCCCTACCTACTACTATACTAAACTACCGAACAATAATCCATTTTGCCAACGCTAGGGAGCCATTGGGAGAGATGCTAACAATCCAGTCTGTCAGACACCACGTGTTGCGAAACCATTGCAGTCTTGTTGCCCTCTGCCCCTGTAGGAACTTTTTTAGCCAATCAACCCTTATTGTTGACTGCAAGTGAGCTTTGAACGTGACCTCTGCATGCTGGTCTGACACTCAAAAGTGAATCTCATTTCGGTCGAGCTCTTCCAACTTGTGCGATATACCCCCATCCCTCCGACGTATTATCGTTTAGGGGGAGGCGCCCCAGTAGTGTCCAGCGATTCCGACACAAGTCTTGTCGGCTTGAGCCCCGCGTCTAGTAGGAGTTCCATCACCTCCACAATTTATGAGATTTTTAGCGGTCCCACCATAGGTGATTGGTCGTTTCGGTAGAGTTAAAGCAACGGTCACATATTTCCTTGACTTTCATCCCTCTGTCAGCCAGCCACTTGACGGAAGAGACCACCAAGTGGGATTGCAACCAGAGGAGTGATGCCAGCCTCTGCGAAGGAATGACTTTAAGTTGGCTCCACAGTCTGGAGAGTTTTCATTCCGACGGCGGCCACAAACTTAAAGAACTCCGGTTCCATCTTGTAATTTTCTTGTCGTAGATTGGTTGCGTACCTGCCCTTAAACTCAGGGTCATCTTGGTTTTAAACTTTTCCAATCTGACCACTTGGCCTTTTTCATTTTTTCAGTTCCAGACCCTTAGTTAATTCTCATCTACTTGAATGGGGTCCCATTGCATACCAGGTAAGGGATCATTGGGAGACCTTTCTTTAGGGGTGTCTGCAACCTCACTCTTACCTCGGTCAGACCTGACATACCATATTAGAAGTGGATGCCTACTCTGATTTGTGATAGGAGGCTTGGCTTCTCTTGTTGATATGTTTCTAGCTAGCACCTGCTCAGGCGCTCAAGGTCCCAATTTTCTACTCGACAATACCATTCACCTTCCTTATAATCCCATTTGTACCATATGTTACTCCTCCTGGTCCAAGAATCTTCATCCACTCTGCTGGTATTACCCTTTCGAGGGTCTCGCTCCGAGTCGTTCTGCCTAAAAGGGCAGTTGCTCCTGAATCTCCTTCAATGTTACTTATGATTTTCATTAGTTAGTGTTATCGTCTCAGAGGTCCACAACTTTCGAGATCCCTTTTGGAGCCAACTTTGCCCACTGGTTAATGGGAACCCCCACTGCTAGAAGCAGTCAGGCTCCACACCGTTTGAATCCCGGATCCACCCATTCTCAAATAGCAATTTTTTTCTAACGTCTTCCTTCGATTTTAGTGGGAATGAGATATGGGGTTTGACCTTCCTCCATGCAGCAAGGATCTCTCTTTGAAACTGTGATTTAGGTCGTTTGTGAGAGTACAAATTTGTCATTAATGTCACCCATATGTTTGATGAACGTACTGACTTTTCCGCGATGCTCATAATCAACTCAGCAAGATAGACCATGTCTACCTTTTCCTCTGCCTCGACCACCCAAATTACCCAACGAGCAAGCATAGCTATGTTTTGGGCTACTGGTCATTAAGTCCTAATCCGCCTTGCTCCCTCCGAGTCGGGGTCTCCTTTTGTATTTCATATAAACTTGTGAGCCACTTCCCTTATTGTTTTGAGCATTAAGTGGAGGGAGACATCTGATTGTGACCACGTGAGCAGGGCTAAGTGCTATCAAGGCGGATAACCAGGCCTTGGTATATGATATTGTCGCCTTGCGCAGTGAAGTCGACAACCTCAAGCGAAACAACAAGCGGGGAGTTGAGGCGGTAACAGAGAAGAGCCCGCCAACAGAACCAGCACGCGGCAAGTCTCGCTAGGAGGAAAACTGTCAGACACCGGCCGAGTGGGCCAAACTTACTAAAGCTTATCGACGACTCTGTGACGAAAAGGATATGGCCGAAAGAGAAGTGTCGGCCCTGAAAGAAATGATCAATCGTATCCGTATTTCCTCGCCATCAAGTTCTAAGAAGAGGCCTATCATACGAAGAAGGAGCGGGAAAGGGGGAGTCAGCCCCGAACAAAAATCAGGCAATCAAGAGAAGGGGACCTTTGTACGAAGGAGTGGTGAAGACAGAGACGTATTCTTCAAGAGGGTCAACAATGACCCCGACAAACTCCGGAAGGCACAACTGGAAACATTGTGCGCGGACTAAGAGATCGATTACGACGGTGTGAAAAAAACGGCGGAAGATTTAGCCGAGATCTATACGACTCGTGCACTTGATAGACCGACCAACAGGAAGCTTCTAAGCGATCATGAGGAGAAAGAAGAACGGAGCGAACCAGATCAAGACGAAACATCGGGGGACGTTGCGGCCATCTCCACGGATAACCACTTGGTTTCGGAATCTTCGTAGGGTCGATACCGAGCGTGGGTCGTATTTATTATTTGCTCTCTGATGTTCGGAACTTGAGACGATCGAAGCAAGGTATATTGAATTCTTTTTTCACTCCCCTCTTCCGTTGCTTCACTATTCAGTTAATTATTTCTTCTGCCTTTAGCTGGGGATTCAAGTTTCTTCGTCTTATTTGTGCTCTGGCTCAATCCGGTTACGACTTCGAACGTTGTCCTGGACCCGTGATCTATATTCTGATTCCGCCATGGTGCAAGAATACTTATGTAGGATGTACTTCTCGGTTGACTGATGAACGATGGAAATAGCACATATACCGTGCTGGATACCAAGGACAGGGTAGTAATATACGTAATCATAGATTGTATAGATGGCTACGTAGGTATGGGATTGAAAACTATGTGGCGATACCGATTGCTAATCTTAAGGCTAATGATCTGTTGGACGTTGAGTCGTTTTGTATTCGGAACTTTTCACCTTTTTTGAACAGTCTTGGACGTCACGACCATGTGAGTTGTAAGAATAGACCAGGTAAGAAAGAGCGACAGCGTAAAGCCAAGCGGTCAGTAGATAGAACGGTTCACAGTAGGACTCGTACCTTCTTAATTTTTTCTGCGTCTTTCGAAGCATCCTCTGTTTCGCTCGCCAGGATCCTTGATGAGGCGTTTGATAAGAACTGTTTATCCTTTTCAATTGAGTGTTTGGAGGGAACGATTCTCTGTGACAAATGGAAAGTTCTTCGACGAAAGTATGGGTCTACTGTGGTCAAATTAGGAGGAGAGACAAGGATTTTAAAGAATGCTAAGGAATGGCTAGTTTCCGGTAATAACGTTGTTATTGAAGGGCTGACACAGTACTGTTCTAAATTATTGGAAAGGAAACAAGCGTTGGTCCCACTGTTATCTTGCCCGACATCACGTAAAGAATTGTATAAACGTAGTTTTGACGATTTGATCGCAGATTATTCAGTGATACGATTTTTTTCAAGGAAGGACAAACGGAGTACATTACGAGGAGCTATCGCAAGGGCGCTACGGGGTCGTTATAATTTCAACATTAGAGTTAAACCTATCATCTGAATTCCTTATGATGCTAATTTGTCTAAAGCTAAACTTAGGAAGTTGTGTGTAAAAACGATTCGTAGTTCGTCAGTTAGGAAACCACTGCGTCATATTATTTCTCGTAGACTAAGGATAGTTTATCCGCGTAACAAGACGGTTGCAGATTACATTCACAATTTCAGACAATTGGCTAGATCTCCGTCACTTACCCGTGTTTGCTCGAGCTTTCTTACAGCTAGCTCATCTTGTCCGACCTTCCCTTCCTCACATCAACTCGTTCCCACCTCACATTCTACTGCCCTCTCGTCTCTCGTCACCCCTCCTTGGGCTTCCACCCAT